AAGAGTGTGAGCACAGAGGAGTGTGCCATTCACCAGCTCTGGTCAGACTCATGGTCCCTATTTCTGCTGATCCTGAGTGGCTTATGGTCCTGTTAGTCTAAATCGCCTTTCACAGGCAGGAGCTTGTGCCCAAGCATAGAGGAGGAGTTCTAGGAAGGCTGAGAAGCAACAACTGCTTCACAATCTTCCCAGGATGTCCGCTTCTCCTTAGGAAAAGGTAGATCTGAGACCAATCTCACTACTGCCTGAGACAATGAGATCTTAAGTATCTGGCACTTATCAGGAAGCTTCCAATCTTATGCTGTTGAGGCATTTTGGTGAAGACTAAGAACAGTATAGCTGGGTGCAATCCTGATATTAAGTGTAGGTTTTACCATACCTTGTTAGGTGCAAGAGAAAGGTGTAGATCTTGCTGGGTCCTGCAGGAAAATTTATATTAAATTCAGGTGTCTTTCCTGGCATCTGGAGAAATATGTGGCTCTCAGTTTTTGTCACATAAGTCTAGTAAAGAGTAGTTTAACTGTCTGATAGAGAACAAGTATGCTTAATAATGACTGGTAATAGCTGGATAGATAATGAGCATCTTTCGTCTTACATTACTTATCAGTAATAGGTTCTCATTTTTCAGTCTAGAAAAGTCTCTCTAAATGCACAAGTAAATGCACAAGTGCTGGTGATGCATCTCAGGCACTGTGGCTTGTCTTCTGATATTCCCCAATTTGCAGACACATACATAGCAACATCTGTGAACTGGGAGGACAAGGTTAGCTCCACAGCAACCCCTCTGGAGTAGACTATTTGCCAGAAGCACTCAGCATCAGTTACCCCATAAGAGAATTTTAAACTCAAAACATACCATAAGTGTATGCTAATTTATGAAAAATTGCATCTGGCTCCCTCATCTTTATTAGTTCATATGCTTTTGTGGGACTGCAGTCGCATATTTACTGTTAGTCTTGGTGTCATATCTGTACCTGAGCAGTGGCCTCTTTTCTAATGCATTTCTTAACAGTTTAGCTCAATACTTCAATCAGCTGTACATGCTGATAATTTAGGATATACTAAAGGGAGATCTGTTTTCTGTGCAGTTCCGTGCACTGCCCAAAGGGAATGGAGCAGCAAACTCTGCTCCCTGCTTTAGTGCTGGGGAGGATTAGACAGGGCTTTGTGAAGAAAATGTAGGCAAATGAGCTTAGGCAATTAGATAGCAAATTAAAATGAAATGGTAACTGTTTATCTGACTATATTCTATTTTTCTTCATACTTCCGCCTGCCATTCAAAAACACAGTGGACTCCACTTCCCATCTTCTGACTTTGATCTCTGAGCAGCAGACTTTTCTGTGAAGGGAAGACTAAAATGCAGATGCAGGATCACACTAATGGAACAGCACATTCTTGGCTTGCAGCCACATCCAAATTCATTAATAATAGTAGTTTTCTGTAACTGCCAGGAAAGATAAAGAAAGCAGTGACATTTTAACTATCTTGTGATGCAAGCAGTTCACCCTCCCAGGAGTTTAGCAAAGTAAAGTGGAAGCTTAATTAGGGGTGATACATTCTAAACTCTGCATTCATTATGTCTCTAATTATTTCACAACTTCTCCACAAATCCTGAAGTTGTTTTGCAAAAAACTTCAGCATCAGCAATAAACTCATACATATACCCTGTTTTTGAGGTATTGCAAACAACTGTATATTGTATCCTCTCCAGATACCATTTTAAAATATAGTATTAGCATTAAGGAAGTATGAAGGACATGTCTGCAGTTTGGTGGTGGCAGGTGGCTTAGATAAGCAAATCCAAACCATTAAAGAATATTAAATAAGATACCAGTAGGTGTGCCAGGGATCAGGAGGTGGCAGCAAAACTCTGAGGAGAAGATTGGTTTCTGCATGTCAATAATGGAAGTATTTTAACTGCAAACCAGGACTGATAAATCATGTAAAATTCTAGTAAGAAAAACAAGGGATGGCCACTGATCATGCAATGAGGAATTGTATGAAAAGCCATTGAATTTTGTGAATTGAAAACCAGCTACCATTAAACCTGAAATTGCTTTAATAATGAATGTAAAAAAATGTAACTTTTCAGAACAGGAAGACTCCAAGTTGTCTGACAGAACTTCTCAAGCTGGATGGAGTACCATCAATGGGTGTTTTGCAAAGCTCAGCAAATTGGACAGGACTCCCATGATTGGTCAAGTTTATGTGTATATATATATGTATATAAACTGAATGGCAGAAAGGATGCCAATGTTTGCAGTAAGGAAAACTTTAACACTGAGCAAGAAGAACAAGGCATATTTGAAGTAGGGACAAAATTGACCTTTGTTATTTATCAAAATTGTGTGAATATTCAAAACAGCTTATGCACAACAAAAACATCCATGCTCACCAAGCATGCAGAATAAAATGGTCAGATCTGCATATGTGTGTACTCCTATCATAGCTGCATCCTGAGGAGCAATTATCATATACTAGAAATTCTAAAGGTGATGCCACAGAAAAACACTGGCTTCTGGCTGAGTACACTGAAGGTTAGTACTACAACAAAGGCTTGAGATCACAGAAGAGCAAACTTCGCTCACTCAGAGCTCAGGTGGGAGGGATTCCAGGAGGATAAAGGAGTTAGTGAGCACTGGGAATTTTTTCAAGAATGTTCTCCTGGAAGCACAAAATGTTCATCCCCTTTGGAGGCAAGGAAAGCAGGTGGAGCAAGAGACCCCCCTTGGCTTAACTGAGAGCTTCTGTGTTTGCTCAAAACTAAAAGAGACATGTACCAGAGATGGAAATGAATGAATACTCATTGAGAACTACCAGGGTGTGCAGAGATGCAGTCAGAAAAGGAAAAGCTTGAGTTGAAATGGGCCAGAGATGTCAAAAACCACAAGGAAGGGTATGTAATCAACAAGCAGAAACAGAAGGGAAATACTGCCCCATTGTTAAACAGGAGAAGTGAATTAGTCACCAACAACACTTAAAAGGCTCAAGGCTTTCTTCACCTCTCTTTACCAGCACTATTGAGCCTCAGGCTTTGGGAACAAGAGTCCATATTGATGGGAACACAGACCCGCCATCAGTGAATGAAGAGTTGGTGGATGAACTCTACAGGAAGTTGACCCTTACAAATCAATGGAGCTTGACAATATCCACCCAAGGGTGTTAGGAGCTGGTTCATGTTGTTGTGAGGCCATTCTCCTCCTCCTCAAGCTTTGAGAAATTGTGGAGGCTGGGGGGCAACCCAGAAGACTAATGTCACACCCATCTATACAAATGACTTAAAGGAGGATCCAGGAAATTTTAGGCCCATCAGTCTTACTTCAGTCTGGGAAAATTATGGAATGAATCCTTCTGGGGCTATCAGACAAAGGATGTGGTTAGGAAGAGCCAGCATGGGTTCACCGAGGGTAAATCAGGTTTGACAACCTGATCACCTTCTACAACAAAGTAACCTGTTCAGTTGATGTGGGATGAGCAGTGGACATTATCTAGGTGCCTTTCTCCAAGGCTCTTCATACAGTTTCCATCAGGCTCCTCTGAGAGAATTGAGGTGTTATGGTCTAGACAAGGCTGCACACGGGGGAGAGCTGGCTGAGAGGCTGCACCCAGAGCAGGGTGACAAACAGCTCCTTTTCAAACTGGCAACCTGCCACAAGTGGGGCCTCCCAGGGATCAATATTGGGCCCAGCACTGTTTAATATCTTGAAAATAAATCTGGATGATGGGGTCAAGCGCACCCTGAACTGAGTGGGAAACTGGACACTTTGGGATTAAGAGCCACCCTGCAGGAAAACCTGGATAGGCTGGAAGAGTGAGCTACCAAGAACACTATGAAGTTAACAAGGACAAGAGTAAGGTCTTGCACCTGGGAAAGTATAATCCATGAGTGCAGCACAGGTTGGGGTCTACTGGCTGCTGGGGAGAAGCTCAGTAGGAAGGAACCTGGCCCAGGTGGACAAGCAGTTGAATATGAGTGCAGAGTCTGCTGCTGTGGCAAAGAATTCAACAGGATTCTGGGCTGAATCAACAAGGGCATCAACAGCAAAGATAAAGATGTCATTATCCTGCTCTACTCAGCACTTGCCAGACTACAACTGGAATACTGAATTCAGTTTTTGTCCCTGCTTCACAAAAAATAGGTGGGCAGCTGAAGAGGCTCCAGAGAAGGGCCACAAAGATGATCCAAGGGCTCAAAGCCTGCCACGTAAGGAAAGGCTTGAGAGAACTGGGGTTGCTCAGCCTTGAAATAAGAAGGCTCAGGGGAGACCTGATGGAGGTAATGGTTCTATTTAAGGGTAGCCACCCCTTAAATACTAGATACTTAAATACAATTTACATCAGCAGAAATTGCAGTTGGACACAAGAACAACCAACGACTAGAATAATCTCCCAAAAAAAAGTGGTGGATTTCCCAACTTTGGACACTTTTAAGATTAGTCTGGGCAGGATGCTGGACCATCTGGTCTGGATGATGTTTTTGCCAAGAAAGATTGGACCAGAAAATTCTTCAGGTCCCTTCCAACCTAGTATTCCGTGACTAACATTATAGACAGAAAAATTTTACAAGGTGAAGGGAAAAAAAATGATGTATTTTGAGATTTTTATAAATATAATGGAAGAAGAAAGTTAAAATTACCTTATGAGCAGCTAGAAGAATTCCTCAACCTAAACCAACAAAAATAATGTTCAACATATTTCAATATTTATTTATACTGCTATATTCAAGCTCCATGTGCCCTATGCAAGCATGACAGATTTCTACTGTATCACTCAGAAATCTGGAATCTCTAGAGCAGTTTTTTGCTTTAACAAACTAGAATGTTACTACAAGTTGCATCTGTAATGGGAAGACCAGGCAAAAAATGTGTACACATAAATGTGCATGTTCTTTCAATAAAATAATTTGCATACTTCATTTACTATACCTAGATAGCAATACTTCAGAGTATTGCTGAACAAAAAAAAACTCAGAAGGTTTTGCAATTATAATAGGAAAAAGTGAGAAAATAAACTAAATATGCCTTTAATAAATGAAACCATTTTAACATATTTTCCAGTATCCTTGATTTGCAATGACTGAAACATTATATTTTCCAGTATCCTCAGTTTGCAATGACTGAAACAGATATTTTGCTGGTTCCAGTTCCATTTAGCCAGTCCTTTGTGCTATCCACAAGCCTGTCTGCTGGAATAATATGAAGATGAAACAGTAACACTAAAAAATAAGCAAGTATTTAAAATGAAACAGAAGAAAATTTTGATGACTATTTATTTCACTTGCACCAACAATGTTGAAATTTGAGATAAAAAAATAGAATAATATTGTTTATATTCATATCAGAGAAAAACCAAGGAAATAAACTCGGACGAAGAGAGCTGTCATAAGTATTTTTGGAGTAAATCAAATAGATGTGATTGAAAAAAAACCCCATCCAACCTGTCTTCTAGAAAATTTTCTAAATAAGCAATTCGCATAAACTCTTCAGTAAATGTAATGTACCATAAACTGTATGCCACAACCCAGAGAACACAGCTTGAACGCTGGGAACAGAGTGGGAGACACCTGAGATGACTCTGTTAAATTATGCAAGAATCTCAGCTATGCACAGCAAAGTGTCAGTGTCAGGAGGTGAATAACACCAAAGCAGTTTCTAAACAACTAAACATATTTGAAACAGGAGTTCTCAAATTGTCCCACAGGGCTGGCCACACTTTGAAGAGAAACTGGCTCAGTTTCACTTCCCATTAATGATCATATAATATCTTTGTGCCAAATACAGCAGTTGCCTGCATGGAAAAATAATTTTAGGAAAGTATTTAATATGTTTTTAACTGCCTTGTAAAAGCAACTTAGCAACTGAAAAGAGAGATGCCAACACCTTCTGATGGGCTAAATCTTTAGAGGAAACCAGGAAGATTCTGTGGGTGGAATGTGTACAGTGATATGCAGACAATGTACCACCTGAGATATCTTTCTACTGTTCCATCCCTCTGAGAGAGATGTAGGATGCTGCCTTTGCAGATTTCCAACCATGTCAGCAAGACAGAAGAAAATACCCCAGACATATCAGTCATATCTAAAATGTTTTGGGGACCAATGTCTCAACAACTTCTCAAGTGTCTTATTTCTTCCTGCCATTTTCCACCAGAAAAATCTCTGTGAAGAAATGAAAAGGAGAAAGTCATCTACCCTGCCTAAAGTTACCTCCTTAACCATCTTTTTCTAGTCTGGCTCGTAGACTTTCAGACTTGGACTGATTTAATGATTTTGAGATGCTTAGTTCTTAACCAAAGTCATGTCAAAAAATGTTCTTTGGAGAGAGCTTGGAAAAGCCCCTGGGTTTGGAAAAAGCACTGACCTGTGGAAAGTTCTTTCTTGTCTCCTTAGTTTCATCACAGTTGCTATTACAGAGTGTTCAGCTTACAGGAGTTGTTTTGCTTTGGATTTGAAAAATGCCCTTTTTCAAAACCAATAGAGGGCTCAACTCACTCTTGCCAAACCCTACAATAGGAAAGGAAGGATAATACATGGAGGGGCACAATGGCAATTTATCTTTCTGGCTTTCGTGTTTTGGAATTTTGTTGCTTAGTGTCTGTCAGCACTTTCATCCTGGGGAATTTAAATTTCTGCAACAACAGCCTGACAACAACTAAAAGTTTGCATATAAAGTATCAGAACTCAGAACTATTTGTCTTTTAAATTAATTTTCCAGAGGGAGTAAGTCTTAAGATATGAAAAGGTACTTAGGTGCTACTCAGCATAAGAAGGAAATTATTAGCTTGGCATTTGTTTAAACTTGTGAAACATTTCTTTAAAAGGACAGTGAGATAAATATCTAAAATGTGATCTCGAAACCCACAAAAAATATGTATTCATTCAGGAACTGAGCTACATTTGATGTGTCTAGCTTTTCTAGGCACTGTAATTACTGGCTTTGATAATAACTTATTCAAAAACCAACCATGTATGTTCAACAGGTTTCCTTTCAGGAATGCTTCAGCTGCTGATGGATCACAAAAGGAAGGACCATATCCTGTCTTTGAAGATATGGATAAAAGGGAAGTAATTGTTAATGATTTGTTCATCTAAACAAAAAATGACTGACAACATAATGAAATCCTGTAATCGTGTAGTGTGTCAAATACTGCAATTTTAAACTGAATAGGAACAAATGTCAAAAGAAGCTGAATGAGAGTAGTTGCATTATACACTACAGAACCATATGTCTAGTAATAAAAGACATGAGAGGAAACTGTAAGAAACTAGTCTTCTGGAACTGCTTACATATTGCAATGAATTTTTGGCACAATTAAGCACTTCATTCAAAATGCTGATTGAAGACAATGCTGAAAGGCCTCTCTCAGTGCAGGAAAATTACAGCTGTCCAAAACCACCTGTAATGACATATTTTGAAGAGATTAGCCAGGAACTAGTATCACTACAGCATGCTGTAGACTATGGAGCACTTCTACAGGCTGGCAGTCCAGTGCACTAAATGCTGAGTTGTGTGGATGTGGGACAGCACTGCTGTAGCAAACAGACATATTTACAATACCAGTGTATTTCTTTGCTTGGAAAAAACTGAAAAATCCTTGGCATATTTTATATGAAGAGCAAACCAATTAAGAGTAGATTCACTGAATGAGTAAAGTCTTGTTCTTTCACGCACAGGTAGGACTGTAGCCTCTTCTTGTGGGGAAGCCACCCAGCTTGCCAGTTTGTTCATCTCAATCGCATACCAATATTAATTATCCTGCTCCTCGCCCTGGCTCCCTGCTGGAGCAGCGCCGTGTCCCCCGGGCGCGCAGCACCGGGAGCACAGCAGAGGTACCCAGACCCAGTCTGAGGGATCGTGTCTGGCTTAACATCGAGGCTTCAGAGTGGAACAATACAGAAGGAAGTAAAACCCAGCAGGAGAAGCAAACCGAAGAATTATTTTCCCACCGTACCTTTTAAGGATATTTCCAATAAGCATTAGAGGAACATCATCACATTATCACAAAATAGCTGGATCACAGTGAAATGATGTGGTTCACTGCTGGCACGTGCATTAAACAAAACGCACGGAGCTGACAAATGAATTAATTTGCTTTACCACTACTCCTTTCCGGGCTTGGACAAACAGCTGCTGCAGATCACTGCTGTTCCCTTGCGCACAGCCCTGACCGATGGTTTCCAACCTTCGCCTGCAAGGTCTGAGGGCTCTGCTACTGGAAAGGTCCAAACAAGATGCAAATTCATATATCCAGCAAACAATTTTAACAATCTTTTAGAGAAGAAAACACGTGCATGCAAAGGTGTTCTAACTCAAAGGCTTGAAATATATTGGCATAATAAATAAACAAAGATAAGAAGAAGCTTAACAGCACAAATGGTAACTCTGTGAAGAGCTTTGCATACGCTTTCGGACAGAGCCGTAATGAATTTTTGGCAGCCCCGGCGGCCGAACCGGAGGGGTTCCCGCGGCCTGGGCTCGGCGCGCCGTGAGGGGCTCGTGAGGGGGCTCAGCCCCGGGGGCTCCGCGAGGGTCCCGCGGCCCAGCCCCGCACGCGGCGTCACGCGCCCCCCGCGGGCGGGCTCCCGCCTCCGCCGCGGGCCAATGGCGGCGCGGCCCCGCGCGGCCCGTCCCGCCGCCAGCCAATGGCTCGCGGGCCCTGGGCGCGGGCGGGCCTGGGCGCGCGGCCGTTGGGCTCCTCGGGGCCCGCCCCGGTGGGCGGAGTGCGGCGCGCCCGGCCCGGCCCAGCGCGGCAGCGGCGATGCGGAGCCGGGGCGAACGGAGCCGCGGGTAGCCGGAGCTGAGCCGCTCTTGCGCATCCGGCCCGGCCGCAGGTACGAGCCGCAGCCCCGCGGGGGTCCGCGAGCTGGCGAGGGTCGCGGCGGGGGGCTCCGAGGCTCTTGTGGCGCGCCGTGAGGGATTCTCCGCGGGAGGGGTCGGCGGGCGAGAGAGGGGATGCGGCAGGTGCCGGGCTGCGGTCACTCGGTCCCGGGGGCGCGGAGAGGCGCCGGTGCCGAGATGGCCGCCGCCGCCTCCCCGGGGAGCCCCCCGGGAGCCGCTCCCCTGCCCGCGGGGCTCCCCGGGGGGGGCGGCTCCGTGCGGCAGCGCCGGGTCCCCGAGCCCCCCCCGCGGGCAGCGCCGGCCGTGCCGGAGCGGGCGGGGGAGCTCACGGCGGATCTAATCACGGCGAGTGCTCCGGCTTTTAAAAGCTGCCGGGCTGCCGGGATTCGTTGCGCAGAGCTCCTTCTGGCAAGTCATGGATGTGACTGAGCCATTAAGGGACACCGGGCTGCGCAGCCGGGCTCTGGAGACCTATCAACTTCAATTTATGGGGTATCGGGAACAGGAGGCGTTTTTATGAATTGGCTGGTAATAACTTAATTCACCTGTGAGGCCAGTGCCTGTTAATGCCTACATTTAATCTGCGTGGAGCAATAAATAGCTATTAACTTGGCGTGTTGTGTGTGGAGAAGGTGGATGGTATTTGAGAAAAGGGCTGTGAAGAGCAGTAGGTGCCTTTGCGTGCTACTTGTGTGCTTTCACTTCTGAATTCATAGCTTCTTTTTATTTTACCGGTGTTTATAACAACGTGCCTTTCTGTGCTTCCAGCGCTTCTTAATTGATTTGATTTCTTAAACAGCCTGCTATATCTTTTCTTTTTCTTCCCTCTAAATAAACTGTAGAATAACTTCAGGGGCAATAGCTTTCAGTGATCATAGAATCGACAAGGTTGGGAGAGACCTTTGAGATCAAGTCCAACCGTGAAACCCATCAACACTATCACTGTAACCCCTAAAGCATTAAACCTTATCACCCAGCACCAGAATTCTTCCTTTTGAAGGAGACTAAACAGTCTGGACAGTGATGATCAACATCATTAGACCTCATGGCTATCTTTGGTAGCTGAATTCAGAATTTGTTTCTTACGGTTAGGTTTTTTGGATGAGGTCTAGAGTTCTTATTTTAAGTTTACTTAGATCAAGAGCCCCATTTTAATGAGACATATTGTTTTGTGGTTGTTAAGTTTAAAATATAGTAATTAGAATTTTGGTATGAAGTATTATCATCCATCAGGATGCATGGATGTTATATCTTGGTCATTTTTATAGAAATATCTTACTTAATTTACTGGTAGATTGTTCACTTACTGAAAGTATTCTTTGTCCCTAATTGATGTGGATGATCAAATCTATAATCTCACTTAGAAATAACAGTAGGATTTTTCTAGATGTCCCTTTTTGGATTAAGATTTTTTGTATTCAGGGTGTGTGACTGCATGTAGGTTCTAAAAGCTGTCTAAAAGCAACAGTTAATTTAGGGTTTGTGATTTAATCATGCAGAGCTAGGAAATGAGTGAATGAGAGTCATCAGTTTCAACTGTGACAGTTTATTCATGTGTATGAGAAGGAGTAAAGCAGTAGCCTAAATGTTGAGGACTTGATTTAAATTATTTCAGACATCGACTAGATTTGGACTTAATTGTGAATGTGTTTATATTTACATGTGTGCACTTAAAAGGAGATGGGAAATCCCAGAGCTGCAGATTACTGTCAGCTGGCAAATACATCAAGGAATGGTTGCTGTATGTTTACCCTGTTCTTGTTCTCTATGCACCCACTAGCAGTACTTATTAGAAACAGGATACTGTGTCAGATGGACCTTGAACCTGAGATAGTATTGCGTTTTTGTGTTTGTAATAAAATGTTTTCTCTGTAGGAGCATGTAGTTAGGAAGCTAAATTTAAAATTAGGCATGTGTCAGAGCTTTAAGTTTTTAAAAGAGTACAGTCTAAAAGTCAATACCAGGTACAAAAAAAGCAGGCTAAGGAATGTTCTATTACTTTGGAAGTTTATTTACATTTTTGTTAACATCCCAACACCTGATAGGAAATGGTCACAAGCATGTTTTCTAAGTGGCAACTTCCAGTCCTTTCCTGAGTGCCTTGCAGAAGTGCTGTGCTTCTCATGAAGATGATGTTAAATCTGCTGCAACTCCCATCTTATGATGTTGCAATATTGCCTTTCACTGAAACTCCAGCCTTAGTTCTGTTTTCATGCACTAAATCTTCCCTTTCTATGTGGCAAGCACCTGGGCCACCTGTGAGCCTTTAATTCTAGCATGTGGAAGGGAGCAAAATGGATCTATAAAAACTCATTTAGTGGTATCTTCCCTCCAAACTAGTTCTTCTTTTTAAGTTTTAACTGTGGAACTTGCTATGATAATGAGTAGAAGCAGGAAAAAAAATCCAGTCTTGCTGCTAGCAAAGTGTCTGTTAGTTGCCTTGTAGAGTATGTTTTGGAAAGTTGTTGCAGTGAGTTAAGCAAGTTTGACCATCTAGAACTACATGAATTATGTGTAGGAGTGATGAAAGCTTCCCACATAGCTGTGCTAATGCAGTTTAATCCCAGGCTATGGTGTGTGTATTCTTCCTGACCTCATCTGCTTGCTGCTGGCTTTTGTTTGTTAAAGGAAAGATAGAGTATATTAAATTGTGTCCTCCTAATTTTAACCTTAGAAGTACAATAATAAAGCTGAATTTATTTATACCTCCTTTCAGTGGATTGTGGACATTTCTTCCACAAGTGGTATCATATACTTATCTAATACAGTACCTTGCCCTGTATTACAGAAATAGACAGAGTGCAAACATTACTTAATACACTTCAAATAACTTACACTGCAGTATCCTTAAAAGCCCTTGACAGCCCAGACCCCTAGCTCTGTCCCGTGTCATGTTGGCTATATGGCAGTTCTGAGAACAGCTATATGGTTTTGTATTTTACTGAGTCATTTTTGAGCATTGCCATAAGGTGTTCAGTAAAGTTCTTTAACCAATGAGTTTTCAAAGACAGCAATAGATGATAGATACATTGACCTGCTCTTTATTTTAGCTGTCACTCTTGCTTTTAGAGGCAATCCATCAGAAATAAAAAATAAGGTATGTCTGAATATGCACAAAACTTTCCTGCTATTGAATATCTGCTTTCATTATGCTTAACTACCAAGGACACAACTTGAATTTCCCCCCCACCTTGGTAGGCTAACAGATGCCATGTGATAAGCAGTATCATTAAGCAGACTAGTCTTTGGGACTCCAGATTTTGTCCTGAAAATGTTTTATCAAGCTACATTATGAATCATGGCTAGAATCAATCTTATCTCACAGTTGTAAGTGCTGAAGAAAAGATGAGCTGCTAAAATAAAAGGGTTTTCAGTCTACTCAATCTCTTGCAATCACATCTTGCTGCAGTGGTCAGTATCTTTATTTTTTTTGCTTGTCGGTGATGTAATAAGCCTGCCGTAAAAAGCTCATGAAATGAACTCATTTATATCCTCAATTACATCAGTATTTAAAGATAGTAGTTGAATCGATCCATAGACTGTATCTACAAACTATATTAAAGAGGAGTTATATTCTAGGTAATATAAATTGGAGATACTAACTGTATTGTAGTTTGCAGCGTGCAGAGGAGATGGTGACATATGAACGTGGAAAGAATAGGCCTGCCTTGATCCTGTTTTCAGTCAGGTGCTTCCATACACGCCCCAGGGCTGCCCTATGTGTGTTCTGTGGTCTGCTGCTCCGATTCTTGCCAAGGGGAGGTGTGGGGTGTTCTCGGTGTGTAGGAGCAGTAGTCAGTGCACAGTGGACATTTGCTGGATGTTGGTGTGCACAGCCAGTTACGGTCTGGAGCTTATTGCTAACTTTCAAAGCAGAGTAATTAGCTTTTGTGAAGCAAAGAAATGAGCATCTTTACTACAGGCAAGAAGTCACAATTACTTAAGGGCTTTTTAATGTGGACACACTCAATGCAGTGGTAGAAGGCTTACACCTAAAATTTTGTATCAGAATTTGCATGTTGTTCATGTATAAAATGGGATTAAATGTCTGAATTCTTACAGATCTTTAGATGTTAGATAAAGCTTACATGTACTCATTTAAAATTAATTATTTTGCTTAATTATAATGTTAAGACCAATTTATCTTGGACAAGTGTGGAGGCAGAATAAATACGCATTTTGAAATCCTCTCTCCCCCCACTAGAATAAGTCTTTTCATTTCTCTTGTTTCTGCAGGGTTTCATAGAGAATCAGATATTTGGAAGTTAACTACTTTAAATTTATTCTCCTAACAATTAGAAGGAAAAAAAATGCAAATATGTAGTATCTCCAATACTGACTAAAATGTCATATTAATATTACCCTTTCCCTTTTCTTTCAGATTCCATAGACTCTCAGCTTGGCAATCCAAAAAATGCATTATCTTATGCTGCTGTTGAAGTGAAAACAGTTATCCAGGTAGGACTCCCTTGTGATGACCCTTGCTCATTGTTTTCAGATACTGAATTAGGTTGTTGCTTGTTTTCTGCTGTCCTGAGCAATAAATAGATGTGTG